TTTGCCAAGTTATCTCTTTAAATTCATTTTATTGCAACTGAATTATCAGTTCACAATATTAACTATGGACATTTACTACTCAAAAAGGAGTACTGATATGACCATGCCATCACATCAAGATTTCTTAGTGAACAGTAATTTCATTAGTGCATCTGTCTGTAAAATTAAGGGGGGAAAGACATAAATTGCCATATTGGGACCAACTATACATTGCAACATTCCAGACAAAGCACAGAAGCAGAAGAATCGTGGATTACTAACTCATTGGTGCTACTTTGCAACCAAGAACATAGAGGGATAAGCCCTGCTGAAAAAGAATCTACATGATTTCCACAAAGACAGGTCCTGTCTCACTAATCTATTGGAGTTCTTTGAGAGTGTCAATAAGCACATGGATGGGGCAATCTGGTTGACATTATTTACTTGGATTTCCAAATGGGCTTTTGACAAAGTCCCTCACCAAAGACTTCTGAGCAAACTAAGCAGCCAGGGAATAAGAGTAAGGGTCCTTTTATGGATCAGTACCTGGTTAAAGACCAGAAAAAAGAATGGGAATGTATAGTAATTTCTCCTGAGGAATAAACTAGTGGGGTCTCACATAGTTCTCCCTCTCCCAAATTACCAGAACCCAAGGTCATCCCATGAAGCTGATTAGTGGGAGATTTAGGACAATAGTCCTTCACACAGAAAACAGTTAAACTGCAGAATTCACAGCCACAGAAAGTAGTGATTGCCACCAGTTTGGATGGCCTTGGAAAGGGGCTGGACAAATTCATGGAGGAGGAGGCTATCAGTGGCTGCTAGCCTTGTTGTCTGTGTGCTGTCTCCATCATCGGAAGAGGAACTCTTGTACCCACCCTGCTTAAGGGATCCCGCGGATAGTTCATTTGTCACCATGTGAACAGAGTGCTGGGCTGGATTAACCTTTGGTCTGATCCAGCATGGATTTTCTTATGAGCATATGTTCTTAATATCAGATAATATAAGGGAAAACTGGATAAGATACATTCTTCAGTATTCCTATTTATCAAGTGATTGAAGTTAAATTTCACCCTGAATAGGGTAGCCATTAGATATTGTGACAAAATAGGAAATCTATCATCAAAAACGAGGGCACAGATATGCATAAAATACCCACCTGCTAATTTATACAATAGATGCAAATTTAAAAGTTAACACTATGATTTAAACAGAAACACAGTGCATCTTATCATAGTAAGGAAAACTGGGACCAGGTAAGCCATGTATGCAGCCCAGGTGTTAAATGGACAACTTCTAGGCTCCCACTCTCCCTTCTTGTCCTTACATTAGACTTGGACTGAAAGTGATGTCTTTGAACAAAATACTGTTCTCCAAATCCCTTAATTCTCTGTAGAACAGGCTATATGAATGCCTGCTGGACTAAAAAAGATTTAATCTCTGTCTGGCTAGTAGAATTCCCCAAGCTGGTGCCATCCAGATATTTTGGTCTGCAACATTCATGAATGCCAGTGAGTACGGCCAGTGGTTGGGGCTGATTTAGAGGGTGCCGTTTTGGAGAATGCTGATCTAGGAGATGTCAACAGAAAGGGACAACTGTCTCTGGACATAGTTGCAATAAAGCACTTGAATAGGTCAGACGTGACTTAGCTTTTAATGGATATGGTGAAATTAAGTATGCAGCAAGGGCCAAATCATACAATACTTTCCTCCAAACCAGCATTTCACAGGAAAGGGAGTGGGAGAGCACCTACCTAGCACGTTTTCCCTCCGCTCCATCAACCCATCAATCTGTACTAGGATGAGGCATCCAAATACAGCCTACATGCACAAAACCCACTTCATGTAGCCAGGACCATGTGGTCATACCATTGGGAAATCTGGTAGTTTGATGGCATGACTTTAGCCCACATACATGGAATATTAAGCCATAGGGGAACATATTATATATGCATGAATGGCCAGGGTAGCAGAAGTGATGACACACTCATCTTTCCTCCATGGATCAGGGGAAAAGTATCATTCAGTCTGGCCCCTTATACAATAGAAGCAGCTGAGCATTAAAAACACTGTGAACTTGCGGTGATGTAAAAAGTGAAGCAAAATGAAGTGAAGCTTTCTCTGCGGTGGCGCCCCATCTATGGAATGTGCTCCCCAGAGAGGTCCGCCTGGCACCGTCGTTATTTGTTTTTCAGCGCCAGGTTAAGACCTTTTTATTCCAGCAATATTTTAATAAGTTTTAATATTGTCTTTTCTATGTTTTTAACTGCAGCCAGTGTGGGTCAGGAATTTATTTATGTTATATTTTATGCTGTAAGCCGTCCTGAGACTTTTTGCGAACAGGATGGCATATAAATATTTTAAATAAAGAAATAAATAAAATGAAGAATTGTCTGAGATATTTTGTGTCTGAGGCAGAACAAACTTGCACTACTCTCCACCACACCCCAGCCACTGGAAAAATGTGATAGTAAATGAAATTAATTATTGTCAATTATCTTCCCACTGCTGGCCTTTTAAGGATAACTTAGGTTCAGCTGCCTAAGGAAGGCTACCTCACCTTTCCTAATGGTAGAACTAGTCCTGCATGTCTCCAGAAATTAGAAGCACTTTTCCTTTCATAAGCTGCGAACCGAGGAAAGCTCATGTGTTCCATTGTGAAATGACTACCTTAGAGTTGAACTCCTCAAACTTCTCTAAAGGAACATAGAAACAGAGCGAGTCAGAAGGGACCTCCTGGGCTATCTAGTCTCCAGCCAGCTCCACTCATGAGATGCCTAGCATGTGCATGTCCAAAGAAAAGGTAATATTCATAAGAATGTGGATGCCACTTTTAATCCCAGTTTTACAGCATGTAATTGTTAGTTCTCATAGTGATCTTGTAATGTGAGTCGCTGGTATTCCAATTTTTAGACAAGGAATAGAAGCGGAGGGATATTTGCTTTGTTGCACACTAAGTTCATGGTTCAGTCGGGATTTGAACTGAAGTCTATTGATTTACAATGGCTGAAGCAGCTGTTCCTTCTTTTTCTTTAGGCAAATTTGGGAAGAAAGACAGTTTAAATGAGTTCATAAAACCCTGAGTCATGTCAGGCTTTTACGCTGAAGGATCACAAAGGAAGGATGATAGATGCTCTGTCAGCATGAAAGAGATTATTTAGAGGAAGAGGAGACTGCACTGCATTTGTGTGTGCTCTGATGCATCTACCTGGCACTGGAGGATTGTTTGTGTTTGTAGGTACACAAACCTACATGTGCACCCAGGACATTTTTACAAAGATTGCCTGCCTTACATTTTCTCTGATTAGTTCCCTTTCTTCAAAATGTTGACCCTGGCATGCCTATTTCTTTTTTTATCATAAAGCTAACCAAGAAACCTCCTGAATTCACTTTGCAGCTCAGAGATGTAGCACAAGCTCCTGCACGTGTACCTAAGATCCTGGCATGGGAACAGACAGACATCTCCTTCCTTTCTAGTATGCTTGAGAGAGCCCAAACATCCCATGATTTCTTCTTCCAAAAAATAAAGTGCTATGAATGTTCTAATGACTTGGAGAGATGAAAGTCCTTCATGCAAAAAGACGAATACCTGAAGCAGCACGGCACTCTGAGCCCATGCTGGGACACTGAGTCAGCCATGAGTCAGAAAAGTGCTGCTGACTGCATCAGCAATGCGACCCTACTGCAGATCAGCTTCTGCAGCGACAGAACCCCTTCCAGAATCCCTTCTGGACGTGACACGACTAACTTTATGAGATCTGCTATAATTATAGCCCAAGGAGGACCAACAGACAGCCAGCTTTAGCAACTCACCCCTTTTCAATCATGCAGGTTCAGCTGACACCTTTGGCGCTAGAGCACTATTTGAAGTGTTCTCTGGGTTTGGGTATACAGTTAGTATAAATTAATAGGGTGCCATTCCAAGCTAAATGGATCAATGAAATGGATCGATTAAAACATGGTGAATGGGTAAGGTGTTACCAGGTTCTTCCTGAGATTAAAAGCATGAATTATTAGGAGGCGCTGGCACTGAGCCTAGGGAAAAAACTGTATCTGTCAAAACATAATTCTGTATAAGCTACTAGGGAAGATGTTAAACCAGGATCTCGAGCAGAGAGTCTGCCGGGCCTTACTTCCTGTGCCACAGACGTTTGTCCCTTCAGATTAAGTTCTGTAAGTAAAAGCCACCTTCTGGATTGCCTTGCCAGACTCCCATCAGCTAAAGCTACAGCCTCAAAGTGGTTGAGTGAAATATATCTGGTGAAATGTATCTGGCCCCACCAAAGCTAACTTTCAAGCCACCGTCCCACAGTTTGCACTTTTTGTCACCTGTTTCATCTTACCTAACCCAGGTTGTTACTAATCTTCAGCTCTGTAAGCCATGTTTGGTACTGGATCTCTGACCACATCAATAATTGCTTTGTTTTTCATTTTTTCCTCTTGGCCTGATCTAATAAGTGTCTCCTCCCTCTGGTCATCTGGCTAGTGTCTCCCAGTGGCAGATGCAGCCCACACTGCCACCTGATGCAAAGTTAAGCCCCAGGTCTGACCTTTAATAATGCTATTGCTAACATTACATTTCTCAGCACATAGTGCAGAACTTAATTCTGTCAGAAATGTCAGATGCACATCTTGGAGGGATCTTTAGATCTTCTCCAATGTATCTGACATCCTGCAGAGGTTTCTAACATTACCAAGATGAACACCAGCATCCATATTCTAGTGGATTCTGGCCTACACTTTCAAATACAAGTCAGGAAATGTAACACTGCATGTGCTTCATATTCTGCAGAATTAAACACAGAGATAAAACGATACAACAGGTCTCTACAGTGGTGACACCACTCTCTTCTGGGCTTTAGCTGGCTCCCTGTGATAGTATAATAGTGTTGGTCATAGCTGCACAGACAATGGAAATGGACCAACATCAGCCAGGAAATCTCTTCTCACAATGTTGACATGCAGTTGCCTTGTGCACTTGACACTATGACCTGGACAAAACCAGCAATATAGTCCCTTACCTTCTACAATGAGCCACACTTGCTGTGATTCCTCCTTCTTTCCATTGGTCTCAACTTGGCACCAGTACTTCCCAGAGTCTCTCCGATCTACAGATTTCAAGCTAAAATGTTGAGAGAAGGGTATAAAATTGTAAATAACACAGCACAAAACCAACTAGCTGTCAAATTATAGAACAGTAGAGTTGAAAGGGGCCAGAGGATCCAACCCCCACTGCTCAGTGCAGGACTCCCAAGTTAAACCCTCTCAGATGGCTGTCCAGTTGCATCTTGAATGCCTCTAGTGTGAGAGAGCCCACAACTCCTAGGTAAGTGACCAGGAGTTGTTTGTTTTTCGGCACCAGGCCAAGACCTTTTTATTTAAACATCATTTTAATTGTTAATATGATTTATTGATTTTATGTCTTTGGGCAGGACGTCTCCAATTATATTGTTGTTATACTGTTTTTATATGGATGATATGTATTTGTTTATTGTTGTGAGCCGCCCCGAGGCTTCGGCGAATGGGGCGGCATAGAAGCTCGCTGAATGAATGAATGAATGAATGAATGAATGAATGAATGAATGGTCCCATTGCTGTACTGCTCTTAAGGTCAGGAAAAATTTCTTGATATCTAGCCAGGACCTGGTTTCCAGTAACTTAAGTCTGGTATTCCATGTCCTGCACTCTGGGATGATCAAGAAGAGATCGTGTCCTTCTTCTTTGTGACAGCCTTTCATGTACTTGTAAAGAGCTTTCATATCACACCTCAGTCTTCTCTTCTAGAGGCTGAACATGCCCAGTTCTTTCCATTTCTCCTCATATGGCTTTGTTTCCAGTCCCCAAGTCATTCTTGTTGCCTTCCTCTGAACTCTTTCCAGCTTGTCTGCATCTTTCTTAAAGTGTGGCACACAGTACTCCAGATGAGGCCTCACCAGTGCTGAGTAAAGGGGAACTAGTACTTCACATGTCATCACAAAATATTTCAAAGCTATACTGCGATGTACAGACATACAATCATTTGAACCATTCCTGCAATGGAAAAGTATTCCTATAATATGCCTTCCTCCTTCAGCATCCACAGGAACACAGCAGTCTTATGACCATATGAAGCTAGCTTATACTATAAGAACCTAGGCCTTACTGTATCTGAAGAAACATCTCTTTTCAGATCAACACGCTGAAACCCTCCTTTAGGCACATCCATTATTGAAGGCAGAATATTCAATAAAGAAGGGGAGTGTTATTTTTTGGTTACAGAATGTCCTCCTTACAGAGGCTCATTTAGCTTTGTTGCTCAATCTTTTCGGTGCTAGCAAACATGTTTTGTTTACGCAGCCATATTAATTTTCTGTAAATTGATTTTTATGGATTGTATCTACTGTTTTATTGCCTGATGATCAATTGTATACTACCCAGCAACTGTAACAAGCGTAAAGGCTGGCCTACAAACAATCATTTAGAATACATGAAATCTATTCCTTACTTCTTGTGGTCAGGCAAAGGTCCATCTGTTCCAGCATTCTGTTCACATAGCAGCCAACCAGCTTCCCATAGGAAATCCACAGGAAAGGCATGAATGCAATGGCACCCTTCCACCATATGAGAGGCACTCATTCTCCAAGGTCTCACACAGAGGCCTTCCCCAGCCCTGCTACCTAAGAAGTGGCAAGGATTGAACTCAGGATTTTCTGCAGGCAAAAATGTGTTCTCACTGCTTTTGGGCCCTCTGAAGTGGTAAGAACAAGCCATTGTTTTTCAGTATTCTGTGGGGTGATGTCACGGTCACTCTTCACTTAGATATGGATGTGAAGCAAAGCCCATGTAGTCATCTTTTCAATTAAAAATGTTCAAGTGAATAGGTCTCAGGAGTTATTTGAAGGAGGAGATTAGCCAAATACTGCAGAGCAAACAGCACAACACAAATGACTGAAAATATGCCCTGAGGCAAAAAATATTAGGGTTGGGAGAGGGACAGGGGAAACCTACTGTTCTCAAAACTGCTATGGAATCTTTGGTTCCCACAGAGGAGAGATAAGTGCTTATCTAGAACTACTGTACAAATTAATTAACCAAGTGCCAAGGAATTCCTGTCTGAAGAAAGCAAGAGAGTTAACTAATTCGCTGGGTTCCAGAAAGTCTAACTGCTTTCAACCTGGAGGTTGCCAGACCACTCAAATCCTGAGACTGGAGCCTGAAAACATGCAGAGAAAGTAAATGTATTGGTCTGACAGGAATGAAGAGGGTGGAGCAAATGTTCCTTCATCAAGGTAATGACTCAGGAGTTGGAACACTTCCTCCATGACCTTCTTCAGCAGTGCAGCTGAAACTTCATAAGGCTCCTAATGAACTCATTTCTTTCTCATTGGGGAGGGAAAACATAGTATATGGTATCTCGGGAAGTCACTGCATTCAATGCAAAGTGTTATCACAGCTTTAAAAGTCTACCCAAGGGAGACATTCTGTCCCACTTGCTCAAGTTAAGGCGCATATATAGATTTATATGAGAGTGAAGACTACATTGAACAGCCTCGGGTTGATGCAACTACAGGTCAAAGTCAAGCCAGGCTGTATTCCAGCTGGGGCAGATCATGGCAGGACCATCCTATGGGGCAAACATGATTCAGACTGTGGGAAGGATTGGGGGACCTGAACTTTCTCTGAGTCACCCCTCAGATTCTCAGAATTCAAGATTCTAGAGAAACTATGAATGCAAACAGACTCAGGGAAGAGGTGTTTGGGAACAGGCAACTCTTGTACATATCTGGCCATTGCTGCTGGATTCACTACAGTTGCAAGGAGTCTCAAGAAAAATGCCTGATTCTTTTTTTCTGCACACCTCAAGCAAACTACTTTGAACATTATATTTTATGTAGTGTAGCAAGCTTGGTTTGATCTAAAGGACGGAGTAAATGTGCTGGAACATATCTTGTGGGGGATGACTAAGGCTTGGTTTGTATGACACATCCTCCTCTCCCAAAAGGATTCAGATCTCAGAAGCTTGATTTTAATTAGGGCATCTCTTTTATTCAAAGAGAAGGAGAGAGGGACATGGTGGGAATAAATGAATGCAAGCAAACTTTTAAGTACATTTCTGAATTTAACCTTCCCATTTTGCTGTAAGAAATGTTGGAGCAAACAAGGTGAAAAGGGAGTGGTGAAGCTGTTTTTCATTTGCCCTCAGAAAAAGATGCTATAAACACAAAGGCCAGGAGATGGAAAGCTGTACTGTACCAGAACAGTACAGCACAAGCAGGAAGCAGTGCTGCCTAATACAAGGCACACTGCCTGTTCTGCTTAGCTCTAATCTTAAGAAATCATGCTATGGAATTAATGGAGTGAATAGTTCTCTGGGCTCTCTTTGCTAATAAAGTGAACAGCTAAGATAAAATGTCGGGATGGTCAATTTGGGGGTCAATTTACAAAATGCTACATCACATTTTACTGCATTCATTTCATTGTTCTTTTCCCCCTGTAAGTGGCCCAGAGAAAGTTTAATTATAGGGCAGACTGTAACCATTAGAAAGGAAAATACATCAGGAGAGGGAAAGGCTGCCTTTGTATGTCAAATTGGCAGACTCTCCATTGATTTTTGTCTCTCTGTCATAAAAACGAACCCTTATTCCACAGCCAAATTCAGGATGTAGGAAACAGAAATCCTCTGATCAGAAAGTGGCACTAGATTTTAAATATTATATATGCCTTAATTTAGTTACTTGTGAAACAGAACTTTTTTCTATGAACCATTCCAGAAAGCCTTATTGCCTGGAGTTTGGATCATGGCAAGAGCCCAATCAGGTACTATGAGCCCCCTTCAGGAGCTCTCTAACGCCACTGTACGTTTGCATACAAGGAAATTGTTCAGAGCATCAGAAGCCCTTCCCACCAGCTGCCTAGCTGAGCAGCAAACTCTTGGCACAGGTCATCTAGTGATACGATATACTAGGGTCCCCTCCCAAGGTAACCCCATTTTCCAGCCCCAACCAAGGATGCTCTCTTACTCTAAAACACAGGACTTGGTGAAAACCAAACAGGGAGTGTATCTCATCTCTCCAAAGTGTGAAGTTCCACTTTCTCCTGCCAGTGCTGTTTCCCCTAGTCTATGATCTCTGTAGCATCTAAGACTCCCCCTTAGAAATGATCACCTTATTCTTGCTTTCTTTACTTCCACTGGTGTTTTAAAGCAAATAAGGTAAGCTCCAACATTAAATCAAAAAGGAAATTCAACACAGACCCCAACTGTACTGAACACACATATTATAGAACTGTTCAGAGCTTGGCCTCTTCAGGCTTCACTCTCAACCTCAACTTTGTCTTCCTCTTGCCACTGCACACTAGCTCTTGGCTCAACATGGTTCCTCCAGCTAAAGCAAAACTTTGCTCTCAAGGCATAGCAGGCAAGACAGAGAAGTCAGTTGCTGGTCTTAGAAATGGGGCTGCATCCCTCCCTGTTGTGAATGACGGCTCAATAGGTAAACAACCCACACAGTTCGTGAGCAATAAAACTAAAGTCTTTTATTGCTACTTATCTACAAGATTTACAACACTACAGATAAACTCTACTGTTGAGGTCTTTACAAGGCAGATGCTAACTCCTTAGTGACATCTCTCAGGGAGCCCACGTGGGACTAGCTATCTTGGTCCCACCTTTCCCCTCTGAGGCGGGACAAAGCTTGCTTTTGCTCCAATCTGCGCAGAGAATGCCTAAGGGTCGTGCGGGAAAGGTCTACTCCGCCTCCTGTGTCTCCTGTGTCATGCTCAGGAGGTTCAGTGTCAGGAGGAAGGGGGGCAGTCTGCTCAGGCTCTCCATGAGCAGAACTTATAGTGCCTTTTCCCTCGGAGCCCTCTGGCTTTGATGCAGGCTTGGGTGTTTGCTCAATGGGCAAAGGGTCAGGATGAGGCACGGCTATCTGTTCAGCCATTCCCAAGCTAGGTTGTCGGGGAGACATTTGGCTACAGGGTCTTAAGCATAAATCCTCCTCGTGAGGTGCCGCCTCTGCTGGGGCGTCAGGCACGACACTCCCACAGCTTGATCAGTCAGCCTTGACTTGACTTCTTGACCTGAACTTCCCTGGGGAAAGTCAGCCTCCCAGCCAGTCGGGGGGGGGGGGGGGGGAACACAGGCTCTTGCTTCCTTTGTACCCCCTAAGCGATAAAAAGAGTTGTGTACTAAATGCATGCCTTATGTCATGACCAGATCACACCAGCTGGCCCAAGGCAATTTGCTGCCCAAGGTGAAGGACAAGAAAACACTCCCCCTCCATTCCACGTATAAAAGCCAACTGAATTGGGCAGATGTATCTGTCTTCAACACCAGTGACATGAGGGCTTCTTCCACTTCACCTGATGACAGCCAGCTAACTTGGGGGTGGGGTGGGGGCAAAGCAGACCACATGACACACGTCCTTCTTCCACCTCCTTGCTGCTGCCTCCCAGCAGCTGCCAACCTGAAGTGACCGCTTCCCTCAGTCTAATGGCAGGGCTGGCTTGGAAGATCACCTCTGACTCCTGGTCATGTACTGTCCTGCAGCCCACCCATCTTTATGCTTTTCCCTCCAACCGTAGGGGAGCAGAGTAGTTAAGCTATGAATCAGGAATCCCCCAGGTAGCCTCTTGCCCCTGCTGTGAGCTTACTAGGTGGCCTCAAACAGGCCACTGCCCCTCAGCCCCAGCACCCCATCGCCTATCAACAGTGTGAAGGATAATAATACTGATATCCTTATGGTGGTTGTACAGCTAGATTACAACCACATAATGCATGCAAAGTGCTTTGGACACTTGAAAGTGCCACACAAAGAAAAAGTATTATTAACTACAGGAACAGGAAGTGGTTCAGAATAGACTTTCAGATTCCTAGGCATGAAATGTTTAGGTGCCCAGGATTTTAATCAAAGAAGAAAGCTTTGGGTGGAATACCTGTGAGTGCACTGCATATTTGCACAGCTCATGTTTGCACAGTTGTATCAGCTGAACATATCTCACAGGGCTGTTGTGAAGATAAAATCAGTGGGAGGGGACGAATGTCATCCTGAGTGCCACAGAGCAAAAAATGTAAACTTTTTTTTTTTTTTTGGCATCCTCTGTTCTGTGCATCACACCTACCTGAGGAAACCAATCCAGTGTTCTTCATCGACTGGAATGTACACCTGGTCTACACTCTGCACCACAGCGCCATCCTTGATCCATAGCATCTCTGGGTCTTCCATTCCCTCGAGGCTGCAGTTCAGCTTCACAGGCTGACCTTGAGACACCTTCAGTTTGATTGGCATTCCTGTAGCCTTCGTTCCTAAAAGAAAGCAACCTCCCTCCTCTCCACGCCCACAAGAGGGGAGTGAGGAGGTTGGGAGTACAGCAAATTAATCAAGGTTGGTGGCCTGGCATGCAATACAGTTGAAGAACAAAACACATAGGCCTCCCAAAAAGGCCTCATCAAAGCTTTATTATATTTGTTGAATGATTATAGGATAAGAGTCTTGAAATTCCAGTTAGCAAATAACAGAGGAGGCTAAATCCATGTGGAGGTTCTTCTGTAATATGCCAATTTGGAGATCAGCGGGGCGAAAGTCACAGAGCACCGATGTGTGAGTGGCAAATACAGATGGAATCAGTGCAACAGGACCCTGGCAATGCTTTTCAAGGTGTTATTCTTGGAATGGTGGTACAATCCTACCCAAGTCCCCTCTGGATTTTTGACTGCCAGGTAATATTCATGCTCTCTTTGGGAATCATGGCTTTTGATCACTACCTACGAAAAGAGCTGACATTTTAAGAAATCATTCATACAGGGGGTTATTCAGTGAACACACTCCCTTTATTGCCAAAGCTCCTAAGCACTGTGGAAGCAAAGTCTGATTGAGAGTTTTGCCATGAAGCTGTTTACAGAATCTACTTTTCTCTCTCTCTAATGTGCGGCATGGGATTACTTCATCCAGTAGCCAAGCAACCTCCAAACCTAGGATGCAGTGCCAAATTCTGATATCATCCCCCATTTGGATGGGTGTCACTAATTCATTTGCAGGCAGTTGCATTTCTTAGATTTCTTTTGGGATAAATGCCTCGGGGCCCTCAAATGTGTTGAAATGGGTAGGTGGAGAGCAATTGCTTCCATAAGAAATTGATGCATGAAAGACGATAGCAGGCAGTGATACTGAGGTAGGCTGGAACAGCCCATGGGAGAAAAATGAACATATGTGACAAGGAAGAAAACAAACAGAATGGTAAATAAGCAGCAAGGTAGAATAGCAAGTTTCAAGATAACGCCAAACTTCTTTCATTATCCCTGCTGTAACTGCTGGACCGCTGTTCTGTTAGCTATCAACAGAAAAGGAAGTGCCAATTATCTGTTTTCTGTCAGATTATTAATAGGATTCTTACCTTTGCAATGAGTCATGACTAGTTTGTATTGATTGGTGTTAATACTTTATGGGCTGTTGATTTTGTTAGCCCCTCTGAGCAGGCTGATGGAAAGGGGACGTGCATTTAATACATAGCTACATTAAACTGTCATTTCAGTATTACAGGCATTGAGAAGTTACTCTGTTCCAACATGCTGACATTCACTCTGGAATTTGCTGCAAATGCATGAGGAGGACTGTGTGTTCAAGCTCTGCCTCCCAGTATCTGCAGTCCAAATGGAGACCATCACACATTCAGTGCAAAGGTCCGAAGGGGGATCCAAGGGCACTTGGCTGATCTCTTTTAGAATCTCCTTTCCAACAATAATGCCAATTGTGCAAAGGCCAGGAGTGAAGGGAGCAGGGATGGAACGTGCAAGAACTTTGGAGCTGCCCTTCAGGTACTCCACTCTAACCACTGCCCCTGCTGGCCAAGCATTTGTGATGTAGTCTCCTCTGCAGCCATGCTATGGGGAGCCATGCAGACTATGCAACACACTGTAATGAATGGGTGACTCTTGTAGCAGCGACTTAATTTGTGACAAGTGATGCCCCAGCTATGGGCACCAAGGAAATGGCTATTGGGGGAATGGGGAGCTGGGCTGAGACAAGTATAAAAGAAGAGCACCCATATCCTAAGTACTGACACTCTTTCTTTCATTCATTCATTCAGTCAGTCAGTCAGTCCACAACCATTAATAAGCAGCTTGCAAGTGCAAGTATCTGTTGCATCTGGTACCCACTGTTCATTCCACAAGCAACCAGGCAGACAATCAGCAGGCACAAAGAAAAGGATTTCCCCCCTGCTCCATCCCCATGACATGATGCCCATAAGCCAGCCTTCCCAAATGTGGTGCTCTCAAGATATGTTGGACCACAACTCCCAACTCCCCTCGTTCCCAGTTGATGATAGGAGGGAGGGCTGCCATAACTGAAGCCTCTGACAGAAGTGACTGGTACAAACTCAAATATCCTGCTATGAGGTTGCCACAGTTGACATGGATATGGACATGACATGGTAGGCATGTCATGAGTGGAGCCAGTTGGAGCCAGGGGTCAGACTAGATGGCCTGGGAGACCCCTTCCGAATCACTCCATTTCTGTGTTTCCATGTCCTCTCCAGGCTCCTTTGCTTTTCCAGAGTTCATGGCAGAATCAAGTACAACACACCCAAAATGTAAATACATTGGTTTCTGCTCTGAAGCGCTGCTTTCAAAGGCAGAGGGCCACTGCAAAATAAAAAGGTGGCAACTCCAGTCCTATGTATGCTTTCAGAATGCACCCTACAACTGATGTTCTTCATTAAAAACACTGGCATAATGCTGCTGATACTACCTGGCAACTTCTTTGAATACCCTTTCCCACTGTTGGTACAAATCAGGCTCAGGCCTTCGCTGGTGCTGCCAGCTCAGAACACTCCCAAACCTAAATGACAGCATTTGGCCATGTGCTAGTCACTTTGATCGCACCAGTGACCCAAATGCATCTGCCAGTGGAGTAAATTCTCTCTACTCCCTGCAGCCCCCCCTCCCCCACATACACTCCCAAGCCTGGGGACCCTCCTGTGCAGGCTGTGAAAGGGAAAGGAAGAGGCTGGGGAACATCCGTTGTGTGAACAGAGGTCAGCTTTTGCCATGTTGGAAGCAGCCTATGGGCAGGCCACCCCATAACACTGAGTGCAGGCCAGCTGAAGGTGAACTGAGGGCCTTCCTGGTGGAGGCAAGCCTAATGACTACACAGCAGCTTTTTTCAGTGCCTGGTGAATAACTTTTATTTTTCAAAGCTTTTCGGTCCTATACATATTTAACACTTTTAACATCTGGGCACTAAAAAAGTATTTCCTATTGTTGGTTTCATGCTGTTGCTAGTTTTGTTCTGTTTGAGAATTAGTATTTCCCTTTTACTTCTTCCAGTTTTATATTTTTAGCCTAAATTGAGGTGAGTAACTTTGCTTATTAGGCAATATAGTAATAAAAATATTGTGAATCAAATACATTTATGCAATTTCTATAATAGTCACTCCACCTAATAAATCTGTATAGAAAAAATGTGTTTCATTCTTTTATTGGATTTTTATTGGATTAGTAGTCTGGGAATCTACTGGTTCCCATAGCATGCTCTTTGTAATTATTATTATTTTGTTGTCTCTGGTAATGAAAACTGCTGAGAGCAGTGAAGCTGGCAAAATATCTTACATTTACATGCAACACTTTAGAAAGATATTTTTGTGGGGAGGGGGAGCTAAGGAACTAAAAACACTCCTAAGCCATTATTATTTAATTCAGCAATTGAATATAGTGTCTGTGTGCATGTGTGTGTACACGTGAATGAAAGCACCCTCCCTCTCATAACAATGCTGAAACAGTCATGTTATAGAAACCTAAACTCCATGCATGAAATGCTAGGCAATCTTATAATACAGGCAAATACCTTGTAGCAGCAAAATTACTCTCCTGTTAGTAACCCACTTGGCCAAATCACCTAAATCATGAACAAATATTGCTATCTTTGGAAGCAATTTCAGATTTCCCATACTTGCTGGGGTTCTAGGAATCGAAGTGCAAAGGAGAGTACAGGACAAGGTACAAGAAGGACTAGATTACAAGAAGGGGAAAGGCAAGAAGTTTCAAAGTACCAACTGGATATTTTTTTGGCATTTGATAAAAGCAAATGAACAATTGCATAAGATATATAAACTGAAGCTCAATCCAGACAAGACGGAGGTCCTGTTGGTTGGCGGATCAGGCTTCGGGGAGGGTGAACTGAACCTAGTCATGAATGGGGTTGCACTCCCTCTTAGGGACAAGGTTCGCAGCTTGGGAGTGCTCCTCGACCCAGAGCTTTCATTGGAAGCTCAGGTGACAGCAGTGGCGAGGAGCGCTTTCCTTCAGCTTTGGCTGATCCATCAGCTGCGCCCCTACCTGGAGTATGACTGCCTGGCGACAGTGACACATGCGTTGGTGACTTCCCAACTTGACTTCTGTAACGCGCTCTACGTGGGGCTACCCTTGAAGACGGTCCGGATACTTCAATTGGTTCAAAATAGAGCTGCCAGGCTGCTGACGGGGACTGGTCGTTATGTTCACATGACTCCAGTCCTCCGTCAGCTTCACTGGCTTCCCATTGAAGTCCGGGCCCAATTCAAGGTGTTGGTGATGACCTATAAAGCCCTAAACGGCCTGGGTCCTGGTTACCTGAACAAGCACTTACGTCCATATATGCCTGCCCGTCCCTTGGGATCTGCGGGAGAGGCCCTTCTCTGGGAATCCTCCATGAAGGAAATTAGGAGGGTGAGTACTCAGAGGAGGGCTTTCTCTGAGGTGGCGCCCAATCTATGGAATGTGCTCCCCAGAGGTCCACCTGGCGCCGTCGTTATTTGTTTTTTGGCACCAGGCGAAGACCTTTTTTATTCAAATATCATTTTAATTGTTAATAGTATTTATTCATTTTATTCTTTGGCCAGGGCGACTTAATTTATACTGTTAATTTATATTATTCTATGGAAGTTTATTTATGGATGTGAGCCGCCCCGAGGCTTCGGCTAATGGGGCGGCATGGAAGTCTTCTAAATAAAATAAATAAAAATAAAATAATAAAAAATATAACATAAATGTGAAAAGATGAGAGGCTAATATTAAGATATATTACATATAAGCATACAGACACACAGAGAGATATAATATCCAATTTCCAGCCACAAGTGTTACCCAATTAAACTCTTCGGCATGGAGATAATCAAAACACAGTCCCTAATGCCTCTTCATAATGTAATGATTATGGAAATCAATTCAAGTTGCTCAATTAAGAGAAGCAGCTTAATAATTCTCATGGATCCGGACCCATAGAGCAGTGTGGCTTTTAGCAATATACCTTTTACGGCCAGATGCGAACTGCTTAAAAAACAGCAAAAATATGGAAGTCTATATGAAAGCATTAATACATATTGCTTCATGTTTATATAAATACATTTGCTTGATTTCCTAGCTACCACTTGGCAACACAGAAATTTAGCAAAAACAGGAAAGGCCAAACAGATCCCATGAGGCCAGGAAGTAGCTGCACCACAGCTGCCCAGCTGTGAAGGGTGCCTTGCCAGTAAGAAGAGGAACAGCAAGGATTGGGCTGCATTTGTTTCGGAATAATACTCAGCAGGACACAGTGCGACACTGTGGTCTCCCTGTGGGTTCTGCTCTTTAGAGGCTTGGTTCCTCTGTGTCCTTACCATTTGTAAGTAACAGTTCCCTAACCAATTTTGTAATAGCATTTAAACTAATTGCTAACTAGACCTGACAATATACTGACTGCTGCTAGACTCCTTTGCACTGCTGCTTATTCAGTTTCAGACTCTGCAAATGTTGATTACCACTAGCAAATAGGCTTTCTTAGGAGAGAAAAATTGGTGGCTAGAAGTATGTGTCTGCATGACAAATAGCCACCCAAATCTTCAAAATACTGTCAGATGCTTCTGACATATAAGACCAGGAACTAAGTCCTTTGGATCTGGAGGGTAGTTCAGAGTTGGTGACTCCATGGCTTGACAACACTATGTAAGAGCTGTTTATGACGCTGATCAGCCCCCTAATATAGGAAAAATCCATGCTGCAGAAACGCATTTTCAGGAGCAACAGATACTGATGTGGAAGCTTGCCCAAGCAAGAGCACATGGTGCAGTTTTTACACATGCAGACTCCTCACCGGCAGTGGCAGGTTCTGCTTCACTGCTGTAATAACGGAATGAGCGGCTATTAAACTTGGAACACCAGAGAGATCGTAGACCTTTCTCACCTTCCCTTATTTCATCAAAGTTTGCAGACTTTGACTGCCTCAGAGAAGTATACAATAATTCCTGGATTTGGTCAGTCATATTCCTGGTCAAAGACTGTCAGGCTGATACATAGAGAACTATTAAGGTGGCGCCACAGGAAGTTGTCAACCTGGTGCCAGCGAGTCCAGATCATCTTTTGCCTTTCGGACTTGTCTTTCCTGTCTTTTCATTCCTATCCGCTTATGTTGTTCCTTTCCGTCTGCTTGCAGAATGCTTTGATGCAATGCTGAGTTAGTCGGCACCCACTCAGCCACACTAACCAATAGTGCCAAATGGATCCTACCTGGAATTGCCAGTTCATGACACAGAGATAAGACTGCGGCTCTAGAAAGCAGAAACTCTGGCTCCCATACCACCAGTGTAGGGGGGGAAAGGGCCACTGCCATGCAAGCGCTGGAGTCTCAGATGTCTCACTGCTGAGGATGCAAGCAACACTGCCTGCAAGTCAGGAACTGGCCACCCAAACTCAAGCAACAGGCCTGGCTAACGGCATCCAAGCCACATGCACATGGGTCTGTGTCCTTCTGAGCAGGTTATTGACTAACCACGGTTTGTGACAGTATGCTCCTGAACGCTCCGTTCCATTTAGTATATACTCCTTTATTTTGCCTAGCTTGTTTCAACAGGAGAACTTAAATTCTGACTATACACTTTTAGAGCTTCTATAGGAAACATTGGCTGTCTTTCTCCCTTTCTCCCCTACCTGTCTATTAGAAAAGAAATTGGAGGACACCTGTAGACATTGAGAACTACCTGCCCTTCTTGTACCATAACAATACAATCTTATGCATTTTTCCTTCAACTTAAACATCACTGGGCTCAATAGGGCTTAGCTCCCAGTAAATGAATTTAGAATTATAGCCTCAGTAGAGTTAGAGAAGAAAATAATTTGTTCAAATGGTTTTGCAAATTCAGTCCACCATTTCACTGGACTTTCTCTTATTTTGTTGATGAGTAACACTGTTTATTTGCAAAATGCTAAATAAATCTATGGCCACATGTCAATCCAAGTTCCTCAAAGTTTTTGCATTGGTGGTAGTGGTATGTCATCACCACAATGAAGAAAACACATTTCTTGAATCAATGCATGTTGCCACCATGTCAAAAGTCTGGGATCAAGTCACACGCAAAAAAGAAGAACCTTCCTACGTATACGAACTACAACCAGTACTCAGATACAGAAACATAAATACGATCAGCCAAAGTCCTTAGAAACATTTTTTAAAAGTACCCACAGAAATCAAAATTCCCCATGATTATTATTCCAGAAGATGTTGATGAAACAAATGTACTTGTGGAGTAGTTGCCATGCACGGCTTTAGAGAATACTGGGCTGTTCACTGATGTTGTGGTTCCCCACCTCCAAGTGTCCTAACCACAGAGCAGCCTAATCGAGGCCAGTGCGTGCTGTTGTGTCTTCACTTAAGACTTCTGAAAATGTAGCCAAGCCACCTATGGAACAGCTTCAAACGGACACATAAAAGCATCATGCTAAACCAAAGGGAAGCAACCTGGTGCCCTCCAGATGTTTTGGATTACAACTGGCATAACCCCCGACCATTCGCCATATTAGCTGCGATCCAACATATTTGGAAGGCACCAGGCACCAGGTTGCTCATGACTGGACTAAACACTCAGCTTCAAAATGGACCGATCCATTTAACCAGCAAGGAAGGTACTGGGGTGAGAGGGTCACATGTTGCAAATCGTGACTATTTCAAAAATGCATTCACTCCTGTAAAGGAGCTGGTTTGCCTTACTATTGCAGGGAAACTGACAGAAAGGTGCCAGGAAACTAATTCAGAGGAGACACTAACTGTTGACTCTGCTGCAGGCACCGTTCATTAACATACGGTGAGGGATGAACTAATAAAATGCCCAAGCTACTTATAAAAGGAAGCTTCAAGATTAATTTGGGAAAAGGAGGGACGCATTCCCCCAATCAAGTTCTCCAAGTTGCTTCAGCTCCGATTAGCAATTAAAAAGAGATTTAGGCCAGCTTCACAGCACCCTGGGAAGACGGGGTGGGGGTGAAATGGGGGCTGTATTTATAGCGGCGGCTCCTTCTTGCTTCTCCCAGCAGTCCCTTCCGGAGAAGTCAATTGTCAAGAGGAGTTTGGTTGTTTTCAACCGAGCGAGTCAGAAATCTAGGAAAGGGGAGGAACGGGAATCCCATCGCTCGAGCAAGCCCCATATGAAACTGTAAATCACTGGCCAAGACCAACCGCAGAAGAGGCGAACTGAGCAACTGCTAAGCAAGAACCGAAGAGCCTCCAAAGCTTCCACGGGGACGAACTTGAGAGGCGTTGAAAATACAACCTGGGGCAAGGCCAAGTGAATCGTGCAGATGTTGCCCCGAATCCCCCGCCCGCCGCCTTCCCTGCCCCCGCCCAGTTGAAGAGAGCCGCCCGGCTTTCTCCGCCTCGGCCAGGGCAGCTGCGGAGCCTTACCTGTGACCGCCGTGCCGTCCCGCAAAGACAGAGCCCATAGTGCCGGCAGCAGCAACAGGAGTCCCCGGATCTGCATAGTCTGCTTCATCTCCATCTCTTCCACATCATCATCTTTATCATCATCCTCCCAGCTACCTCCAAAGCGGCTGCCTCTCCTCGCTTCCACACACCCCCCGCACAAATCTTTCGAAAAAATAAAGGAACGGGAGGGAAAAAAGGGGAGGATGGGCGTACGGCAAAGCAGAGGGGGGTTGAATCGGGAGCTCAGGAGGGAGCCGAAGCGACGATGCCTTTACCGACGGAGCCCCCTGCGCGCGTAGCAGGCGACCTTTCCACACGCACGACCTGGCCGCGCGAGGAGGCGCCCCTGATGTGGCCGGTCCAGCGAGCAGCGATCGGCACGCGCAGCGCGGCTCGGCTCGGCGGCTCCCTCTGCTCCTCTTCCCCGGGCTTGTAATCCCGCGTCTCCGAGCCGAGAAGGTCCCCCCCTGCTGGCCTGCCTCCCGCGGTGCACAAGAGTTCACTCGGCGATCCAGGCTCGGCCGGGCTGCCAACTTCCCCCCGAGCGCCGCCGCGACTTCCTTCGGCAAAATCTTTTCGCGCTGGCTTCCTCCTGCTCCTCCAGGAAATGGCGCTTTCGGGAGGCCCCCACGGCGGAGCTGCGCTGCTCATGACATCACCACCGGCCTCATGAATATGTAGCGCAGCTATTTCTTATCCCGCTTCCTTGAACTTTATTTCTCCCCCGCACGCGGGAAGTGGAAAATAACAAGCCTGCAGGAATGGGGGCGTGCGGCCTCTGGAAGCGGGAGGGAAACAGAAGAAACCGCCGCATCCCTATGTTGCGCCAGTCGCGCAGCGCAGGGACAAGCCTGTTCGTTTGCGCAGGCCGACCAGCTGCTCTTCGCGGGGAGCGCTTGGCCTTCGCCGAAATCAGGAATGATCGTGCTTTGACCGAGAAGTCAGTGCCTGCCGCAGCCCAGCCCTTCCGCGCAGCCTTGGGCTGTCGGGCTGTTTCTTCGCTGGAATACACCTGTGGAGGAATGCATGCACAGCTACAAGGCAACAAAATAGGGAAAAACCCACACAAACCAGCGCATGCAATACACGTTTATGCAGACATCCACATTGATGCGGATGCTGCAGGAAGGCTCAGAGGGGTTTGGATGATAACCCGCCCCCTCTAGTTCTGTCTTTTAAAACCCACATTAATTTTACATTCAGCATTGTTCAGGTGCTCTTCTCGACAAACTTTTCCAAGGTTGGCCTCATCAAGAGGCAGAGCAAGGTGACTGCTCCTGCTGCAGTGTTATACTAGTCAATTTCCCTCGGGTGCAATGGACATTACTGCCTTGTCCCATCCCCAGTATTAAAAAAAGATTTAATCCAGGCAAGTCTGTGAAACTGGGGAAGGCACCATCTTGTCCTTCACCTCAGGCTGTGATGGTCTTGGACCTGCATGGAGTTAATGCATTACACTGGAAATGGTCCTAAGTAGCTCTTCCATTAATAAATTACCCCTTTCTACCTCCATCTCTACTCTTCCCACAGCAGAGTGCAATGTCTGGGCACATGGAAAGCTGTATTACGCCAGTTCTAGAATTTTACATAGGCTGTCTGATAAATGGTTTGAATAGAACTTACCAATTTTTTCCATAAGACAATAAGGAAACTTTGTGAAAGGCTGAGTTTGGTTCATCGCCCAGCAGAAGCGTCCTAGCTCAAATATAAATTATAAACAACTTCTGCCAAAGGGGAAAGCTATGGAACAGGGGGTGGCACTAGCAACCCATACTAATGCAGCCAGTGAACGCTGAGTAGGAAATGTGTAAAATAATTGAGCAGAGCAGTCCTACAATGTTTGTTTGAAAGTAAATCCCACTGCATTCTGATTAAATGTGCGTAGATTTGAAGTCTAAAGGCTAAGGTACACATTTCATTTTTCATAATTTTAAAAGTTCCACTTTTATTTGAAAAAGGAGCTGAAGGCTCTAATATTAAATGTACTTCTGATTCAGATGGGTGCTTTGTAGAAGTTTCCTGCCCAAAATCAACCCTCCTGGCTGGCTATATGCTTCCAACTGTGTTGTTTGAAGCAACCAGTATAATGCACTTACCCACACTGAGCACCATCCTGTTGTCCCCAGCCCACTTCCATAGTCTGTTCAGATCCTTTTAGATCCAGAATACCTGCTCCTTGGTTGTGGCCATCGCCCCCATTTTAGTATCATCGGCAAATTTGATCAGCAGACTTGTCACCCCCTCTTCCAGGTCATTGATGAAAAGATTAAACAGGATTGGTCCCAGGAAAGAGCACAGGGGGACCCCACTCATCACCAACCACTCTCTCAATGATTCCCCACTAATAGTTACCCCCAGCTTTCGGTACATCAACCATGCCCTAAACCATCAGACAGTGCATTGGTCTATCCCAAAACTCCTCAATTTCTCAACCAGAATATCATGCTGCACTTTGTCAAAGGTCTTGCTGAAATCCAGGTAAAAGACATCAACCGTGTCCTCTCCATCTAGCCACCTCGAAACCTTGTCATAGAATTTCACAGGTTCGTCTGGCAGGACTTGTTTTCGTGGAAACCTTGTTGCATGGCCACCAACCTCCCTTCCCTATCTAGGGATTCCAGAGCCTTTCCTATTATGAGCCTTTCAATTGTCATTCCCAGAATGGACCTAAGGGTAACTGGCCTGTAATTCCTCATGTCCCCTTAACTACCCTTTTTGAGTATTGGGACCACTGACAACACTCTCCAGTTCTCTTGAACCTCACCCATTCTCCACAAGACCTCAAAAATGGAAGCCAACGGATGTGAGAGAACCCCTACCAATTCCCTAAGTACCTATGTGAACACTAATCCAAGAATGTTTGTGGCAAACAAACCAACACCCCGTGTGCCATAACATATTTAATACTCTTAAAAATGCCACAAAATATTCAGTTCTAGGAATTCCTGTCAAACTATACCTTTCTCCTATCATTAATAAAGGGGACATACACTCACCCAGGTATGCATTCATAGAAGAGAGAACCCAAGAGTTCTCTCTTCTATGACTTCTATGAACACACTTCCCCCACCCAGGATAAATATGTAGTGTACCTTTGCTTAGCTCTTAGCCAGGGTGGTCTATGACAGTCTGTTCCCACAGATGGAACAGATGTTTCCCCCTGCACAAGTCAAGGTGCATAGGATCTGACACCAGCCAACTTATTTTGGTACCTGATGCAGAAAATCCCACAACTGCCTCTCCCCCATCCCTGACTTCAAGATGATGATGATGAAAGTTGCTGTCCTTTCATTGGTTGGTTACCTGTTGGAGGCCAGCCCATTCTCTTTGCTGACAGCAATGTATTGATAATGCTTCTCCTTGACTTATCCCCACCCACATGGGCATTTCAGCTCCTTTATGTGTCGTTGATTCACTTATGTTTTGTAGTGATGATGGCCTTCAGAACAGTTAGCAACACAGATCCGGCTGTTCTTTAATGCTTCCCAGTTTGATCATCATAGTGAGGAAAAAGGTGTACTCCCTACCACACAGACAATAAACTAAGGCATTTAATGTATTGGTATGTCCCACAGGTCCCACTGCCCACATTCAGAGGTTCCAAGGCCTCTTGGAAAGCAATTTTGAAAGGAGACCGTGGAGGTGAATAATACCTACATTATGCATCAGTACGTGTAACAAAAATTTTGGAAACAAGATGTGGAAGAATGCTCCAATGATAGAGGAAATAGGGAATTTGTTCCCCCTATAGTTTGTAAATGGGACTGCAGGTGGCGCAGTGGTTTAAACCGCTGTGCTGCTGGGCTGGTTGATCGAAAGGTCACCGGTTCGAATCTGCACAATGGGGTGAGTTCCCGTTGCTCCGTCCCAGCTCCTGCCAACCTTGCAGTTCGAAAGCATGCAAAGGCAAGTAGATAAAAAGGTACCACTTCAGTGGGAAGGTAACAGCGTTCCGTGCACTTCGGTGTTTAGTCATGCCGGCCACATGACCACGGAGACTGTCTGCGGACAAACGCCGGCTCCCTTGGCTAGGAAACGGAGACGAGCACCGCCCCCTAGAGTCAGGCATGACTGGACTTTAATGTCAAGGGGAAACCTTTACCTTTACCTTTTATAGTTTGCAAGTGCATGCTGCACTACTGGTTTTAGAAATCAAAGGGGCTGGTCATAATAGACCCAAAACTGTGTGGAGTGAAGAGGTGAGGCTTGAGGATTTCATTAAGGCTCCTCTACCTTTCCCTCATAATGCAAACAATGATTTGGAGTAGAGAAGCAGAGCTGAGAGGGGGAGAAGTCACCCTTTCCCACCAGCTACTGATCTTGAGAACACACAGAGCAGCCGTTTTCCCTGCCCCAAGAGGGTCCAGCTGCTCATTTTTAGAGGCTTTGGAACCTCATAGGATGGGGCGGGTGTGAAATGGATTTGAGTAGTAAAGTGTTAAGTAGAGATAAGGTTAAGCAATCCTTCTTTCCCACTCCGTTTCCTCACTAAATCCACCTCCTAACACTGCTTTCAAAGTAGTCCTCGAATTTTTGTTACTAAAGTTTCTCTGTACCTTGAAGGTGAACCAATAGCATTGGACTCAATGACTTAAGCTGACATTCTGGCTTCCATTTTTAAAAAGACCCAAGCCCCATTTTTTATGGCAGCTGACTGTACTAGGCTGCTGTATTTGTGTGTATTTCTTTTCTGTTGTCATGACAACAAGAACCTCATATCCCTAGATAGTTATTACCCATCAACCCTGAATGTCCTGTAAAAGCTTTGCAATGATTTCCCAATTCTGTCATTTGAGCTCATGGAGTTTCTAACAATCACCATATTTTTTCTAGTTATATCTAATCATTCAATACATTAATAGTGAATTAACTACATTGTTTTAACAGTTTAAAACACTGTAGTTTTAAACTGTCTAGTAACTGAAGTTCTCTGGGTGGTAAATGAGGCATTAAAAACAAAAAATATAAATATTAAAGAAAAAAATTAAAGGACATAACAAAACAAAGATAAAACCGACAGGAAAGAATGAAAACAAATTAAAACTAGTACCAGAAAAAATGCTAAAAGCTCTACAAAAACAGTTCTTAAAATGGAAATGTTTGAAGAATATAATGCTGGAAGAATAAAAAGATACTCACCTGGCACCAAAAGATTGTAGTATAGATGCCAGGTGTGTCTAGGGAGAGCATGCCACAAACAGGGTCACCTTTGAAAAGGCTTTTCTTTAGTAGCCATGTGTCTTACTACATTTATCAATGAGGA